TACCTTACAAAATAAGTATGGTATTCACTATTCATCTAATAACGGTACATTAGGACAAGGGGGGGGGGCTAAATTATTGTTAAATTGCTGTGCATATTATCCGGTCAATTTACCCATTTAATTGTAATGTCATGATCTTTATAAATTAATAAATCGTTGCAAATTATTAATTTATATAATATGATTATTGCATTTTATTATGAGTTACTGTTTAAACTGCAAAAAATAAATTCTCATGGGCAAGAACTTCTACACCCCGATCCTCGAGTGGACCAGACCTGGAACAAAGTTTAATGGGCCGGACATTTTGCGCATTAAAATTTTGGGATCAGGCCTGGTATGACATTTTATAACTTATAAAATCATGATTTTTATGAAACTTTAATAAGCCAGCCAGCCCGGGCATTAAAATTTTGATTTTTTTTTTAAAATTTAAAGTTAATATTTTGATCTTGATTGATATGATATAATTAAAAAATTGTAATATGCTCTATTTCTTTGTATTTTAAGAGCTGTTAACTAAAATATTATATCTATAAATTATATAGTAAATCGGAAAAATTTAATTTATTTATGATATGATCCAATTACAAATACACAATACAGATATCAAACATGATTGATATAGAAACCCTTTGTAGAAATTGACAGTCATTTAGGAGAAAAGCCTTAATTAAAATATTAGATATTAATATTAAAAATATTATGGCTGGAAAATTCGTAGGATCGAAGCGGGCCAGACTTTACAGACCTCTACCCCCTACCCCCTACCCCATATCCTACACCCCCTGTTAAAATTAGCATAAAAGGAAATCTTAATCAAATCACACAAAATTTTATTCAAATGACGATAGCTAACTATACCAGCCCCCCTTGCGCTATACCTTCTCACTTTTCTCCCATGGTAGAAATCCTTGCCTCTGGTGGCAGGTTAATTTGAACGGGTTCCTGGTGCCACAAATATCCCCTCCCCCAATATTGCTGAGGCCTCGGATTATATAATATATATTGTTAATTTTTTTAAAAAATAATAAGCCAAATGATAGCAAATCACTTCGGAGGGAGATAAGATAAAATTTTTGATTCAAATTTTTGTTTATTTAATCTTTGAAAATAACGCAATTATTTTTGGCACTTGATTTCAAAATTTTTGTTTACTTTATGCAGTTACATCACGAAATTTGCTGTTAAAAAAGATCGACGGAATAACTGGTTAAAAAAATCTATATTATAAAATGGTGCGTCTAAAATACCTTTTAAACTAGTTTAAATAGAAAAATAACCTCAGACTAACAAATTTTTTCGCAAAAATTAGGCCTTGAAATGGAATGGATAGTAGAATAAATTATTATTATATTAGATTACGTTACTCGTCGGCGCGACTCGTTATTGACTTGACGTTCTTCAATCAATGGTTTGGTTATGATATGACTAATAAACAATGTTATTTCTTCGATAACACAAATAACTAAATTAAAGGTCGAGTAATTATTTTGTACAATAATTTTAAGCAAATTATCCAGACCGGTCTATAGTTACCTTTTCTGAAGGAAAACACATACATTTGTCTAATTCTTTAAAAACATTTCTAAAACTTCGGATCAGTGCAGCTCTACAGATATTTTGCACGATTTGTCTGGCGCGGCCCGAAAATTTTTTCCTTACCCTGCCCGACCTAGGGGCTGGATTTCCAGCCGGGTCGCGTTGACGTTTAAACTAAATTCTAATAAATGCATAGTTTCCAATTTTTTATATTATTTTTTTTAAAAATTTGAATGACGAAATTATAACAACTATTTCTTAGAAATATTTCAAGTTTAAAATCTTATTTTTCTATTATTATTAATTATTTTATATTATTATCATTACCTACTCTTAATTTAATTCAGATAAAAAAAATGTAACCATCTGCTGATAAAGATTTTCATTTTTTCCCCTAAAATTTAGAAGATTAAAAAAATGGATTAATATTTTGCAATATTTCTTCATATTTATGTTTATAACAATAAAAACATCAGAAATTGACGGTCAGAGTTGTCAAGCTTTAGCCCTGTCCTGGCCCGGTCTAAAAAGTAAGTTCTCTAAATGTGCACGATAGTGGAAAAAAAAACACCCGGGCCGGACTAGCTTGATTAAAGAAAATGAGCTGTTAAAAAATATTTAAAAAGAATAGTGTTTACTAAATATGTTCGCAATGGCTTACTAGGGCTGGAAAACGGACCTTGCAGAGATTTTTCCAGGGGAGGAATATTTTTATAAGGTGATTTGGAGCATTTGTTAAATTTTAGACAATTTTATAGGTTAATATTGCTTTAAACATTTGGCAAGCTTTTTGCTTTATTAGCGTGCTTTTGGAATATTTAGCTAGCTTTATGCATATATCGTTATTTTTGCGTGCCTTTTGTATATTATTTATCTTTTCACGCTCTTTTCTTGATATGACGTCATTTTGTAACATGTTTAGCATTAGTTTGTTATGATTTTGCGTTGATTTTCTATCATTTGGCGTGTTTTTCTTGCTGGATTTTCTATCGCTTCATGTTTCTCATATTGCACACCTTTTGTATCGTTTCCGGTGGTTTTTGCGTGTATTTGGATTTTTTTTTCTTGCATTTTTGCATACCTTTCATTTTGCATGCCTTTTGCTCATTTTTCATGACCCTTATATCGTTTTCTGTGATACTTTCCTTTTACATCATTACGAGTTTTTCTACCCATTTTCATGCTTTTCCCCCTTATTTTAGTCTTTTGAGTGATTGCTGCATATTTTTCTTTCTTTTCTCTCATTTTTTTAAAAAATTTGTGTTTGGGGGGGGGGGGGTGCACTTTTTGTGAAAGTTAGTAATAATTTTTACAAAAAATCCTGCCTGAAAAAATGGATTTGCAATCTTAAATAAATTCTTAAAATCTTATAGTTATATACTTTTTGAGCTGTTAATAAAAACGAAAGATGTTATAAGCAGCAAAATGGTATAAATTTCATATTCATTGCAATATTTGCAAAGCATTACCCCAAAAGTGAGTATTACATTGTCGATGAGAAAATATTTAAAATTATAGAAAAGTTAGTTTCCCTATGAGATAATATAAAACAAGCATCAAGAAAATGCGCGCCTTGAAAATTATTTTATATGGTTATTTATATATTTGTTTTCATCAATATGGGTAAAATTTTTAAACAATATCACATTTACAGGTAATTAATTAAAAATATATTATAATTTACCAAATAAAATATTTAATTACTAGAACCCTATATGAAAAATTATCTTCGAAAATGTGATAATATTTTGTTGATAAAATTTTCAATTACCGAAAAACATATTAAATTATAATTTACTTATGGCCCAATATCAAAAAGAAAGCGGAAACATAATTATTATGTCTAAGATGATTTTTTTTCTACTAAATTTAAACATTTTTTAAAATGTGTTAATTAAAAATGTGATGACTTAAACCTGGCAAGCATATAGGTCACTTCATTTTGAAGGATATTTTGAGTAATTTATCATTTTATCCATCTTCTTTTAAATACCATTTGACCTTAAATAACTATAGTTTACTCATGTAAAAAACCAAAATTCATGTATTTATACAAATATATAAAAATCATATAATTTCGTATAACATAAGTTTACGGTTTTCTTCAAAAAAAAGGAGTCCTTCAATATATATTTTTTTAAAAGGATCATAATTTTGACATTTGAACTAATTTATAAAAAAAAAATATTAATTTTTATAACAAGAAATATGAATTTTTATTTTTACTTTAAATTTACAATATTTTAAATTATGCTGCACATCGACCTTGTTAGACCGATATTATACTAGTTTCAATGATGTTCGACAAATCCTAATATAAAAGATGAGTACAAACAGAGTAACTCTAAAATTTAAAATGCTTCACGATATGGACATTGTTTTTTTTGCCATCTTCGAATTTGGAGGGAAGGATGAAGACTATTCTTTCTTAATCTAAAGCGTTTCACTAATTTATATTATAGAAAAATATGATAATTATTATAATTTATAATATGAATGAATACTTTTTATTTTAATTTTTTTAAAACTCTTATGAAATATTATCAACCAGGCATTGTCCAAATCTGGTTTCAGTTCAGATGCAGGACATCTTATAGGAATCAGTAACGTCAAAATTGTTTTTTTGCAGTATTATTTAAAAAATATATTATGAATAGTATATTATATTTTTTTATGAAGAAATGTGGGTGATTGAGTCATATAGCACACTCTATTTGTATTTTCAAAAGTTGGTAATTTAGTAAAAGTTAGTGATCTGTATCGGGCCTAATTTTTCAAGCCCGGCCCGGCCTGATCCCGAATGAATTTTTTTATTTGTTCCAAAAAGCCCGACCCGAAATAAAGAGTATTTGTCTGCCCGACCCGAATTTAAGTAAATATTAATCTTTTTTTTTATTGTAAAAAAATTATTTACAAATAAAAAATAGTGCCTTGTTTCTTGCAGAATTAAATATATCTTTATTTGACGAAATGTAATTATATCATATTTAAAAATTTAAACCCATACCCGGTCCGGCCTGAAATTTAAAAAAAAATATTAGGCACCCAGCCCGAATCTAAATAATTTTTTATAAATGGGTCGGGCCGTGATTTTCAGATCTCTAGTAACCACTACTTTTAAAAAAATCAAAAAACCATTTTTTAAAAAATTTTTTTTTTATTTATATATTTTTTAAAATAATTTAATTTTAGACAAAAAAATAATACTATTTGTATGTTATGTTACACACTATTCTATCTATTGTACAAAATTTATTTTTTTTTCCAAAAAAAAACATTATTTTTTAAAATAATTTGATATAAAAAAAAATTTTATTTCATATTTTTTGTTACCAAATTTTCTATATAAAAATAATTAAATTTATATTTAAAATTTAATTTTTTAATAAATTGTTCTTAATCATTTTTTAATTTCAATATTTTCACTGTTTTATTATAAAAAAATAATTTTGGTTTAGCGAAATGCGTCATAACACCTTCCCTTGCACAAAAGGGAATCTATCATTAGGAAGTGTATTTTCTTCTAATCGTAAACATTCTTTACTTCTTTTCATCGTCCTAATCATGTCAAGTATGCCTCAAAATACCTCGGTCGAAAACACCAAAATATTGTCAAAAAAGTATATTTTTTTAAATTATAAATATGTATTTTGTTTGCGACATTTTTTATAACGTTTATTAATATTATTTCTTTTTAAAACCTTTATTTTTAAAATTAAATAGCGTCATTATTTTTATTTCAAATGAGAAATATTTTATGTTTGCTTTAAAGAAAATTTTCTATTTGGTATACAAGAGTTTTTTAAACGGCTAGATTTGAGTCGATTTTTAAAAACGGTTAACTCAATATTTTATACATAACGTAAACTTAAAAATTTAGGTCATTGATGACATAAAGGTTTGGACATCTATTAAGAAATCTAGAGGTCTAGGCAATATTTTTCTGGCTAAAATATTGAGTTATCCATTAAAGATCGGCTCAAATCTAGCCATTTAACAATACTAGGTCATGCTATTTCTTTCGATGCAAATTATGTGTAATAACTAATAAGGTGGAAAAAGTTGAAAGATTTAAAAAATAAATAGATTATTACTAAAAAATGTTATCAAGCATGCACTAGCGGTGCATTAAAATATTATATTCATTTACGCCTTTTTTCTTGTTTTGAATTAATTTAATATAAAATGCTTGGGGGAAAAAATAGGTCATTAAAAAAATATATCTGATTTACTATTGCCTTGATATTCCTCTAACAAAACCTTGAGCTCGCGAAAACTAGTTTTAAACAAAAAAATTGCTATAATTTTTAACAATAACTTTGTCAAATATGAAATTAAGATTAATCTAATTCTTTCTATTTTTTACGAGAATTGTCATGGACTAGGATTCTTCTTATAAAAATGTAATGAAAACAACAACTATTTAATTTATTTATAACTATACTAAAATTTCGAGCTATACTATAAACAATAGTGTCTTATGTTTGATTATTTAATATGAACAATTTGACCTTAAAATGTCTCAATTAAATTTAATGAAACTTAATTGTGTGTAAACACCAAAGTCTGACCTGAATTTTCCATTAAAAATTTGGCTAAAATGAGGGCAGCGGATTTTATCTTTTTTCGAAATTTATTTAGCCTTTTTTTAAAAAAAATAAAAACCAAAACTCATATTACAAAATAGCACTTATGTAATAACCGGTTCTAATACGATAAGGCCAGATTCTGATTACGACGTGAGTGTTCAAATTCTTAGGTCCCCCGCGATCAACTTAGAGGTACTCGTAGTTATTCTTCCCACAAAAGATTCTGATGGCGGTATAGTGCCTTTTGAGAGTGACATCGTCGATAGTCAATATATAGAGGGCGTTAATTACACGGTTATAGCTAGGGCAGGAGGACTTTTTGGTCCTGGCCGGGCCCAAATCCTGAAGCTCAAAGTTAGTTCGATCTTTTTTTCAATGTACAAAAATTCAAAGCATATAATGTGTTTTTGGTTTTTAAATCTAATTTTCAGATATTTTCCTCTCTTTTATTTTTTTATTTTTTAAAATAATCATTCCTTGCACATTTTTTTCTAAACTCACGATTTCAAATAAATATCCGAATCAATATTAATATATCGTTTTTAAATGGAGATAGAGCAAAACCTGAATTCATAGTTCGCCGTGAATTCGGACTAGTCGTGAATGAGGGGTAACAGGTTAAAAAAGAGTAACTATAACGTGTAATCCCTTTGCTAAATATTTCAAATTTTGTCAAAATGTGCATATCTTATACTTACATTATGCTCAATTTTAAGTGAGCGGAGACATTGCCCCAAAACAATTTTTTTTATTCTAGATATATTTGCCTTCCTTCGGCACGGAATCGAGTGAAGTATATTTGTTATCTAGCTCTTATATTATGATTGTTTGGCCTATTATGCAGAACAAAGTTTTTTTTATATCATAGAAGCAAAATCCCTGCCGCTTGGTCCTAGTCCTCCTTACTCTCTATTTTTATATTCAGTGATTTATATTAATAATTAAGTATTCAAAACGATATTTAACTCTGAATTTAAATTAAAATAATCAAAATTTTATATTACACAATAATATAGATCCCAGCTTTTCTATCCTTGGAAAGTTCTAAGAAAATAGCGCTCAAAGTTTTAACAAACGCTCAATCTGCGCAGGATGGCGATGCTCAAATTGGAAAGGAGATTGTGACAACTAGTATTCCATTTAGAAGGGGACCAATTATAACCCCGCTAACAAATATTCGGAATCAAACCGAGCTAACTTTCAATGGGAAAATGCAGTCCATATTCGTTCAAACTGACAAGTCGAAATACAAACCATCCGATAAAGGTTTTATTTAGCCCCATTTTATTTTTCCTTTTCTATAGTTGAAGAATTATGCTCAGTCATATATTAAATTTTCTTTATCAATAATTATAAGTCTTAAGCTGAACCCCTATTTAAACTTCTTAACTAATTTGAGCCAGATTACATTTCGATCCCAATAAAGCTCAAATTTTACCTTTACATGGAAGCAGTGCCGGCTCTGATGCAAAAAAATAATCTGGCGCCTCCCATACAAAAAATATCAAAAATCACAATTTTCAATACAAATTTAATTTTGATATCATTTTTAAATTTTTTTAAAACTAAATTCCGTAATTCTATATCTTTTATAGTTTCATTTTCAATTGAAATGATCGCCAATGAAAATAACCACTCCTGGTTCATAGATGTTCTCAAATAATTTCTGATCAGAACATTTGAGTACAGATCACTTCTTAATATAAAATTTCAATGGGTTATATATTTGAATCAACGACCATTTTATAAATTACTAATTCATCCACAAGTAGGTGTCAAAAATGTTCCTTTCGCCAGTGTTTGTATCTGTTAAATTTACTTCAATTTTTAAGAGTTGTTTCTTTTGAAATTAATTTTCTATATTAAATATTGCGTTTGTGGAAGATGAAAAATCTTCAAATTGACGGATGAAAATCTATGGAAGCCTCTATGAGATGAAAATAAGTTTATACTCTGAATTTTTATTTTGAATTAAATAGATTCAGTGGATTATTGAGTTTTTATAAATTCTGGCTTAAGATCAATTTCAACATCAATTATCTTTAATCTTCAAATGATTCATCCTTTTTTTACGAGTCAAAAAAATTAGAAATATTTGCGGTAAAATATTTTTTTGTCATATTTTATTGAGAATTTTGCATTAATTTGCTGATGAAATTATTTTTATATAATAATTTATACCTCATGGTATAAATAAAATCAAAATATTTCATATTTTTTTATCCCTTCAGATACAGCGACAATATTTTTGTCAAATAATGATTTGTTTATATTTTTATCAATTTTTGTTAGGATTTCAAGGAATCCTCTATTTCTCAAAATTATAATGGCTTAAGGCTTTCGTCACGACTTTCCCCCTATCAGATATTCTTTGAATAATGTTATCTTTATAATTCTATTTTAATATTTTCCTTCTTAACGTTGAAGCTGACAAAAAATTATTGATTTCCTTTATAATAATATGAAAAAAAATTGGTTGAATCGGCATTTGTTGAGTCATTAACAATCAAATTTTATATATGGTGCAAAGTAAAATATTTTGTTATTCATTTTCAAAATCATTTTTAGAAGCCCATTCTTTCTGCTTCTCATGTTGGCTCCAAACCCTGACCTCGAATTTTTTATATCAAGTTCATATATTTAAATTAGCGTTTTTTACGCGTCTAATAATATGGTTTGTTGAATTTATGTAGTTGTAAAGAATTTGTTTTCTTTCTATTTTTTCTCAATATCTGATTTTTTTTTACATTTAAAGTCAGTGCTAACCGATATATGGTGCATAAATAGTCATTCAAATCTGGTTTTAAAAATAAATTAAATTTAATATTAAATCTTTTGACGCCCTTAAAAAATTTTTAATACTGCTAGCGCTCCGCGCATACTGCTTTCTTGGCAGAGGTGCCCATACATGAAAGGTATTTTTCATTTGGGTATATTTCAAGAATTGAAGCCTAATTTTAATAAACTACTTATATTTTTTAAATATGTTCAATTATTTTTTTTATATTAAGTTCGATTCAGAGTAATAGAAGTGGACTCAACTCTCAAGCCTCTCATAGGGAAAGTCACCGTGTTTATAACGGACTCCAAGGAAAACAGAATCAAACAATGGTTGAATCAGGATTTGAAACAAGGTAAATTTCTTATTTTATAATAAAGTAGTTTAGTGGATTCATCTCTAAATTTTCTATGAGAATAAGTATTATATTCAATTATAATGGCGAAAACCTATTTGAATAGAGAATAAATATTTAGAGAAAGAAATAAGAGAAGATCATTTTTAAAAATAAAACACGCCAAGGACTAAGAAAAGGAAAGAAAAGTTTAAAAAACTAATCTACCACCTACATAACCTTTATATTTTTTTCCAAATAAGCATGTTTCATTAAATATGAGAAAGGGGGGAAAATGGAAAATAAAAATAAAAATAATATTGACTAACCACTTGTTTTTCTTAATCAATCTATTATAATTTATTGCATAGGCACATTTTCTTCCGACCTTCAATTGGCTGACAAAGCTGTGCTGGGCCAATGGACCCTAACCGTTCTTCCTCTCTCTCAAAATTCGTCAGATGTGTCCCCAGTGGGGGAATCTATCACTAAAACCTTCGTGGTCGAGGAGTACGTTTTGCCGACATTTGGCGTTGAACTTTGGGCTCCTTCCTTCGTAGTTTTTGACAAAGCCAACAAGAAACTCACCGTCGAAGGATACTTCGAAGCTCAGTTTTTAATAGCATTTTTTTTGCCTATACTTTATAATATGAAATAACTTTGTAAATCAATTTGTTTACACCAAAACATATTTATAAATAATTTAATTATTAAGATATACTTTTGGAGGTACGGTTCCTGGAAAAGCTATTATAATCCTCAAGGACAGCTATGGTGATTACGTGCCTAGATTAGGCATAGTCAAATACGAGCAAACCGAACTAAGCCTACCGGTAACTGAGCGCAGCCCTACTAGAATAACTTTCAAAATAAGCATAGATTACACCGGCAAAGAAAACTACAAGTTAAATTTTAATATTTTTTTTTTTAAAATAACTTTTATAAACACGTAATCCTTTATAATTATCTGAGTGCCCGAAAATTTAATTCCCTTGTATGAATTATTGGGTGTTTAAAAACGAATTTGTTAAAAAAAAATAAAATTTTGATTCGGCTTTAAAGCAGAGGAATGAACATGATTCCGATCTGTACAAAACTAGTTTGCTAATAAATTAAGATGATTCGGCCATGCGGAAAGAAGAGAATCGAATTATGTAGGTTACGATTTAGTAAATGTTATGTATACAAATGGTAATAATAAAATATCTAAATAAAAATGATGGAAGTGTATGGAATAAAAGTTGCTGAAACCCATAGAAAAAAAATAACACAATATTCAATTATTTTCCAGCCATATTTCAAATTTAGTACTTTTATATTTTTGATTTAATTTTTTTTTCTTCTCAAAAGTGCGGACTCTTATACATACGGTCATACATTCTCTCTTTCTCTAACATTTACCGACTCTCTTACTCTGAAATCAAGATCCGCTAATAGAAATTTTCCGGCTTACATCTCGCCTTACCAATTGACTCTCGTAGGCCCCACTTATTTCAAACCCGGATTAGAATACGAATTAAAGGTTAAATGATACCTTAAAAAAATAAAAGAAGGTAGGAGTGGCGATGAGAGGAAGAAAGGAATAAAATTTTAAATAAATTTAGTTTCATCGGATCAATATATTTTTTTCTTGAAGATAATTGCCTCCAAATTTGACGGAAAACCTCTCACCGAAACAGATATTGCACAAATAAAGCTCGACCTTAAAAACAGCGGTTCTTCTGAAGGCGAAAACATTATACAATTTAAAAGGACTATGTATTACAGCAAGCCTTACCAAATCGATAATGAAACGTTTACGTCCGAGATAACCAAGCAAAAGAGTTTGCAATTGGATTCCACAGGAATGGCTAGTGTCGTTTTAAATGATTTAAATCTCGACATAAATAGGATCAACTTTGAGGTAGGAAAATTATATCGGAAATTTTAATTTTTTTTTTTACTATTGTGAGAATTATAATAATCTAGATAGGAACAAATATTAGTTGTTTTTACTATTAAAATTGCTAAACGGCATATAAATCATTTTAAATCTTATTTTTAAATATAATAATTTGAAGGGAAACTTTATCGGTCAAACCAGGAAGTTTAGCATATCTACCAACAAGTTCGAAGAACCTTCCAATCTCTTCCTGGAATTGAGAAATCCTCAACAAGCTGAAAACGACGCCGATAGGAACATCTTAATAGTAAAATTATTTTTGATCTATTTTAACCATGACTTATTGTTTAATGTAACCTAACCTCGTTAAAGCGTTAACAGGAAATTTGGATAGTCTAGGATCTCACAGAGAGTTCACCTATATGGTAAAATAAAATACTTTAAACCTGTTGACTTATTTTGTTCGCAGATTATTTGTTATTTATATGCCAATTCCTTTTATAAAATAGCTCGGTTCGACTCACACCCTCATAGCTGTTTCATCCAGCTCCTTAACAAATTTAACCGTCCTTTTTATAGCCCGGGGAAGACTAGTCAGTCTCAAAACTGTCCTCATAGAACCATCTTCTTCATCTTCCGCCATAGAAATCAAATTTCCAGTCATGCCATCACTAGTTCCTTCCTTTAAGGTTCTCGCTTATCTTGTTAGTCAGAATGGAAACGTTATTGCTGACAGCCTGGCTTTCAAAGTGGATAAATATTCCGAAAATTTTGTATGTAGAATATTATATAAATTTAACACCTTTCTCTTTCGTTTTCATTAGGGCTGTGCCGATCCACAAATTTTTTAATGGCCGATGGCACCATCTTGTTAAGCTTTCGAATATTCGTATATTAAACGGATTTGAAAAATTTATAAGTAAAATTTACTCCCATAAAAAATTTATTTAATAAATATAACCGTAACCATAAGTTATGCGAGCCTGAAGAGTGACGAAACAAAAATACACTTATTATTATATGAAGAAAAAACGCTTATTAAGATGGGATCTTATTTAGAAATTATATAAAATATATATAATATACCTGTATTTACAATCATAAAATAACAAAAAACTTTTAAATATTGGATAAAAATAACTATCCAATCAGATTTTTCAAAACGTTAAATATCGGCACTGCCCTAATTTTTATAATGTTTCTCCCTTTTTCGGAAGAGGGGGTGAGGAGGGATTGGCGAAAAGTGAAGTTTTGGTTTTATAAAAAAAAATTTTGATTAATTTTTTATTAATGAACAAAAATAAACTTTTGATATTTATTTTGATGTCTTATTCAGCTTCTACGAACCTATTAATTTAACATTCCTTATTCTGTTTTTTATATCTTCTCATGTTATGAAACATAATTGATAAATAAGTCCCCAAAGTAAAGATTATATAAATGATTGTTAATTTTTTTTATCAAAAAAATAATTATACTCAATGTTTTAAAGTATATTCTTTAATCACCATTTCTTTTTCCATAATTTAACCATTTAAAAAAATATAGGTCGAATTGAATTTCGAGCCGAGCAGTTCCAGTACCAATAACTCTTTGAGTTCTAATTCCGATTCGCTACGTCCTGGCGCGGAAACTTCCCTTAAGATTAAAACGGTGCCCAACTCTTTCGTCACCTTATTAGCCGTTGATAAAAGCGTTAGTCTTTTGGACAATAGTAACGATATAACTGAAGACGTTATACGCAATGAATTAGCGCTGTGGGACAGTGGGCCCGAATATGATCGTCCTATATATGGTCGGTTTGGCTATCCCAGGCCTTCTTCCGGCAACGTTTATCAAACGTTCAAGGTTTAATTTTATAAAATATCGGATAAAAATTTTAAATAATGTATTAAAAAAATTTCACTTATGGGTTGATTGTTTGGGGCATTGAATGAAATTTACCATGCCTTCGTAGAAAAATGAGACCTGCAGAGGTATATTTTGCACGGCCCGGCCCGGAATTTTCAACCCGGCCCGGATATTTAAAAAAAATTTTTGGGGCCCGGCCCGGCTTGGCCTGGATTTTTTAAAAAAAAATTTTTTCAGGCCCGGTTCGGAATTTTTTTAAAATTATATTCGACCTGGTATATACAAAAAATTCATCTATTTGGTATTTTTTTATCATATTTTTCAGCGAGTATTATCATTTAATAAGCAAGCATATTAGCTAATGTTGTTAAACGGCTGGTTCTGAGCCGATTTTTAAAAACGGATAGCTTAATATTTTCGCGAGAAAAATATTGACTAAGCCTCGAAATTTCGATACTATATGTCTAGACCTTTGCTCCTTCTAGGCTTGCATAATATTTTTCTGGATAAAAAACTGAGTTAGCCGTTTTTAAAATCGGCTCAAAACGAGCCGTTTAACAACACTACTACATATTTTATTTTTTTAAATTCTAAACAGATATTTAGTATATTACAAATTGGTACTATAAAAAATTTGTGTAAATAATATTTTGAGAATATATTATATTAATTGTATTTATAAAAAAAATAAAACTGATATTTTAATTAATAAAAAATATAACATATTATATAATAATGTATTTAATCCTTTGCGTATTTATTCCATGGCAGGAAAACTATAATTATATTATGTAATAGATACTATGAGTGTTAGCTAATGTTAACTTTCACCAAACATTATATTAATCATAACTATATATAATCATTATAACCATATCTAATTGACGAATATAATAATTCATGTTGTATAAATTTTTTAAAAAAATACAGCTCGTCCTGGTACCCGGGCCGGGCTTAGGGCCGGGCCTGCAGGTCTCTGAGAAAAATAAAGTATTAATTTAAAAAATGCTCAATTTAGCTATCAAAATTGCTCCAAATGAATTTTAAAATTTTACCATTGATTTGCAACTTAAAGATGTTTATATGTCATTACTATTATTGCATTCATAAATATTTATTCAGAGTGCAGGCTTGGCTGTATTGACAGACGCAGAACTTTACGTTGGGAGCGATATCGTATATTCGAGTAATTATATTTAATTTTCTAAAATTGAAAGATATTAGCTATTAAAATTTATGGCATTAAAATACTTACATTTACTAGCTGGTAACATTTGAAATAATTAAAAACAAAAATATGCATTTTGAAAAAAAATGTTAGAAAAAATATTTAAAAATCTACAATTCTATTATTCCTACATGGCAATGGCAGGTTCAAGAGGAAATGTTTTTTTTAAAAATTGGTTATGTTATATATTTATAACTAAATGTTGTCTAGCTTCCTCTCCTCACTGTTGTACAAATCAATTTAACTGTGTCTTTGTTTAGCCAGATTGAGACAAACGGCCCTATTTATCTTGAGGATATAATTGCAACATTTGATTTCTACCGACTCGAATATAATTAAATTATTATTTTCGAATACCAATATTTAAGTTAAAGTTGGGCTAGAATTTCACAAATTAAACCTCAATGCACTCTCTTTTATATTATTTGTATCTTATTCTCTGATGCCGAAGTCTATTCTTTTCCCCCAATATATACCCCTCTACAATTAGCGCGAATTCGTGGCGAAGCATATAAAAATACAGCCATATTTTGTATATTTCACCGCGAATTCGTACTAACTGTGAATGAGTAATTATATAAAGTTTAAAATGTTTCGCGATTTATTTTGTAAGTTTTATTTATTGTTTAAAATTTTTTTTTGGTTTGCCTTAGCAGAGTGTGGAACTAGACTCTGGAACCTTCGAAATCGCGTCAAATTTATAAATCGAAACTAGAAACTACTTTTAAAAATTATGCGAACCTAAAAAGTAGAGTAACTTAGAAAAGATTTATGGGATCCAAAACGCTTAATTGCTGGGGGGGGGGACTTCTAAACATAAATGTCATTAACCGTGTTGTTTTTTTATAAAACTATTATGATATAAAAATGATATGTTAGGTGTTGTTTATTTACCTCATTTTAGCCTATTTGTAAAAAACGGTTAAATTAAGATTTTTCGCCAAAAAAAATTACCCAATGCCTCCAAATTTTTCTAAAAAATGACAGAAAGATTAGATCAGCTTTTGGCGAAGATTTCCAAAGCTTAATTGGTAAATTTTTGCAAAAATCTTGATTTACTGTTTTTAAAAAGTTTTGGCTTTTAAAGTTTTATTTATATTATTTTTTATATCTAAAAATAAAAATATTGGAACCTCTTATTACCTTTTTTCATAATAAGGGCGCAGGTTCAACCTAGGCGGTTTTGGGAGACGTAGTATATTTTAATTTATTTACTAATTTATTTTACATTCATTTATTTACATAACCTATATAAGATAAGGCTTCTAAAATTTAAGCGCCGGAATTTTGCCAAAGTTAGACAAATTAAAGCGATTCGCGATGTGTTTTAAAATTTTAGGCATATTTTTCTTTAAGCGTGTGTTATATAAATACATTATTTTTGTTTAATTTAATAAAATTTAAAATCAATGGAGAACTTATTAGAAAGGAGTTTTACTTTCAGAGGCTTTCGTAGATGAATCTATGTAGTTCAAAGGGGCTTCTTGTTTTTTTTGTATGTTTTGCTTTACCCTTCATTCACAATTAGTGCGAATTCGCAGCGAATAATACAAAAATACGTAAGTGTTTTTTTAAAATAAAAATTAAAACTTATGGGTTTAAAAAACCATTGAAAATATTTCAATTTAAAGGGCGCCGATAGGGATCGGAACGGAAACGACCCTTGTTTTCTGGTCCTGCTTAAAAGCTTAAATTTTGTAATATAATATTCTATTTAGAAGAAGGAACAAGGAAGTATAAGTAATGTATTTTACAATGACCAAAGTCTAGTATATTTGTAATTTATATAAAAAATATAAAATTTTTAAGTTATAAAGTGGATAAAAGATAAACAATAAACAATAAAATTAAATATCAAATTTGTATTGAAATGTTACTTCTTCTTTTAGTCGTCTATATAGCTTCCTCTAAACAAGCTTAAATAGAGATTTACCACGTCTTTGTTTTATTGGTACCAAAAAAAATATAAATAACAAGTAATATTTATTTAATATACAACCTTAACAAACCAGAATAGGGTGCCTCATAGCTCGAAGGCTAAGCAGAAATAAATTTCAAAAATAATACGCACGTTAACACTGTCGGATTTTTTTTATATAAAATGTGTTGTTTTAGATTTTATGTTTAAATTAACTCCCAAAAAAAATAGTAAAATAAACCTTGAAGAAATTATTAAATTTTATGGTTTATTAACCAAGTCATAAATAGGGAAATAATGGTCAGAAATATTTTAAAAAAAAAACTCCATCTAAGCCGCATAGATCCTTTATGAAAGTATCTGAAAGTAATACGCTTGCACATGCTTTGGCACAGTCTCTTAAGCCTCTTAGCTACTACAAGGCTGACAGGGATCGGAGTTTTGTAATTATGTTTTCAAAAAAATAATTTGATATTTTATTCAAACTTATAACACGCAAAATTTGTTAGCACCATTTTGGCGGTATCAGAAGGGAAACATATAAATTTTGAGCGGCGCATTTCTAATTTTTTATGGCAAGTCCTATGACTAACACGACTAATTTGATATTATAAAAAAATCTTGCATATATAATGGTTTTGTTTTCTCTATCAAAAAAATTTGATAAAAAATAAAATAATTGATTTGATGTTTAATAAGAGATACTCAATTCAATACATTTTAAGGAAAAATATATATGTTACAGTTAATATACAAACTTGGCTAATGTAGCTATCTAAAAACAATGGCTGTTATCTGTGGCGTCGCATTTAAATTTTTTATAATAAAATTTAAGAATGAGCAAAAAAAGGAAATTTGATCTAAAATCAGCAACAAAAAAATGGAAATATGAGCAACAAAACAATTTTAAAATATTTAAACGGTTATAAATGTTAAAAATCATAAAATATTATGTCCAATAAACTAACAAAATTCATTTTTAAAAAAATCATAAAATGACTCCAAAATTTTTCAAGAAAGTTTATACATTAGCTAACTAGTTTGTAAAATATCTAATCCTCTAGCTAGTTTATATACTCCCTGTCTAGTTTGTAAGCTAGCAAAGCTTGTATATTAGCTGTATAACACACATTATATTTATAACAAAGCAAGTCGTTTAATCTAATGATGCTTGACTATAAATATAGAAGCCTATTAACTATTGAGGTGGGGTTATCTTGCTCATATTTTTGAATTATTGAATTAGAATCGCTAAAAAAAATTCGCCATTTTATGAAATTTTATAAATATTATTTAATTTTTTAATCAAGAAGTGACTGGCCTGTTATTTTTATCTGGCCTGTTTAAGATAATGACAACCGAATCGAGCCAAAGTTTTTACTAAATAAAAATTAACACCCACTAAACAGCTCTATAAAAAAAATGAAAGAAGCATATCCTTTTTTTCTTCCATATTTCTTTATTTTATTTTATGTTCTTTGCTTCATTATTTTTCTTTTAATTTCGCTTACATATTTATTATTAACGTTTAAATGCGTCGTTTCAAATGAACAAAAAAAATTAATCTTAATATCCTTCTCCCCCTCCCCACTTTTTAATACAGTGTTGTGCCGATTTAATTCAAAACATATCCATATTTTTTAATACGTTTGTAAATAAAATTATTTAACTTGTAAAAATTGATAAGAATATATAAATTGTTATTTTAACAATTTTTTGCAAGTCAAATAATTTTATTTCCAAATAAATTAAAAAATATGGAAATGTTTTCCATCGAATCTGGTCAACATTGTAGCTAGTGAATATATGATGGAACGAATGCAACGAACATAAATTTATACATTGAGTAAAATGAATATGAATGAACTGCGCATATAATACATTAACTCGTCAACAGGCGATATATAATGAAATAATGAACGACAAATTTTAATGGGCCTTGATAAATTATTTTAATATGATATATAATATAATCATAGGAAATTTTGCGCCAATGAGTTTTATGCGTGGTTTTGCGGGACCTAGTGCTGTATTAGAATCCGCAACATTTGATGCTTCCCCGGCTCAATTCATGCTTGAGAAAAATGTCCCTATCGAAGGTAATTATTGTTATTCCCGAATTTTTAAAATTTGGTTTTTTTAAATAAAAGAAAAAAAGGCTATAAAATACTATATAGTAGAGTAGTAATGATAGTTCAAATAAAAATAAAATCATTGATTGATATTTGTTATTCTTTTTTACTTAAAATTTTATTTTCTAATTATAATTTATAAAATGTTTAATCGATCACAAGTGTATTGGGAGTAATGATTTTATCTTGTCCAATCTTTTAGTTAACTTTAGTAATAATATCCAACCCATACGATTTATTTTTTACGTTCTACGATTATAATACAACGTCATTCTCTCGACTTTGCTAACAGAACCCATCCCCCAAAATATTCATATCATTTCTATTATAATCGTTTTTCACTGAATAAAAATATATATGTTCCTATCGAAATGTGAAAATTTTTGATCGGCAGGGGAGAAAAAATGTTTAATCTTAAAAAAGTAATTTTCAACTGTTGAAAGAATTTGGAATAAATAAGAGATATTAATTGAAAAATTACTTCTTTATTTATTTTTTTTTAAATAGAGAACTGTCCAATATTTATTTTATTTACTGATATATTTTTCAAGCCTCCATCACGACTCGGAAAGATTTTCCAGAAACTTGGATTTGGGAAGAATTAATTGCCGAGTAAGAAAAAAATAAATTCAATATCATTTTTGGATTGTTAACAATCTCCTAAGATTAAATTTAAACAACCACATTTATATTTCCTTCCCTGCAAAATAGTCAAATTTATTATTTAAAAAAGCGATGCTCTTTGTAAACCAATATAATTTTTTTTTAAGAAATAATGGCTAATTTTTTTAAAAAAACTTTACCCATTTCTAAATAAATATTTTTTATTTATTTTTCCCCACTTAAAGATATTTCAGGAATTTCATATGCAATTTTTTTCTTATATATTATAGTTTAAAAAAAAGGAAAAAAGATTTTATCAATAAATTTATATTGAAAAATAAAATAAAATAAACGATATAAAGTGGACAAGGTTTTGGCCAATTAAAACAAAAAGTTCCAGATACCATAACAACCTGGGTTGCCACCGCTATCTCAATAAATGACGAAAAGGGCTTAGCAATTACAAAAAAACCATCAGAGGTCTTTTAAATATATGTTATAGCTACAGAAAAGAAGTAAAGGGTGAGAAAAAAAAGGAAGAAATTATATTGAATTTTGGGAAACTTGTTATTATAATTTATTTTTTATTTTTACAAAGCTAAGGGTATTCCAACCTTTTTTTGTCTCCTTAAATCTGCCATATTCAATAGTCCGGGGTGAAAAGGTCAAAATTCAAGCGTTGATCTACAATTATATGGGCAAAGACATCATGGTAAATGTGAAAATTTTAATTATTTAAACAAACTTATTTTTTAAAAAAAAATTCCTATACATCTCTTAACTGATTTAAATATCAGAATAGCGCTATTTAATGGATGGATTTTATTAATATTATCAAATATCAACATTTGGTATGCGAGGGTTCATATAACATGTATTATTCATAAGTTTAGATACAATTGTTTTTTTGTCAACTATAAGTATATTAAATATATTGTAAAATCAAGTCATTTTTATATAAAATAATATAGCCACAAAATATAATAATAAATTTCAATTATAAATATATCGTATAAAGAACGGAGTTTTATATCAAATATTATTTTAAACTTAATTTAAATGTAATAAATAAAGACAATTTAACGATGATTGGTATTATGTAATAATACTACAATAACCTAATAAATATTCAGGGCAGAAAAATATTTACCGATTATATTTATCTTATAATTAATCCAACTTTTTAGAGGCCAATTCGAATAGAACCTATTTCCAATAATAAAGCTCAAATTCTGAGACCGTATTCGCCTCATTTAACCTTGTTTAATTGGTGTTTAGTTAGTGTAGTTGTGAAGATTTTTGTGAGATTATATGGGTTAGTTGTGTCTATTTGGTTGTCATAGGGTAAAATTTTGCCGCATGCCTGTTCTTATATCTCTAGCAGAACCTTTAAGCAGAAAGCTTCAGTTGGGGGAGGCCAATATTTTTTCATAAGCTATTAGAAACAATTTTTGAGATAGCCTAGATTTTTTGGGAGAGGGACACATATATATTATAAAATATCAGATTTACTAACTGAATTTGATTAAAAAAGACTTTAAACTTGAATTAGTTCGAATTTTAAAAACATGCAGTATATTACGAAGCTTCCAAAAATCATGCTCAATTTTTATAAAAAATTTTTAATTTTGAAGAAATTTTTCTAGTAAGATTTATTTTATTTTTGTTAAAAAAGCAACTGAATAATAAGGGGATGGAAGGAACAAAATGATTTCTTTGATTAGTCACGTTTCAATAGTATTAAAACCATTAACTACCTACAAAATAGATAGTATTATTGATTGACCTGGTTAATATTTATCTATATCACTTTTTTAAAGGCTACCATTAAAATGGAAGGCCCTTCTTCCAACCAAACAGATCCAGATTTTGAGATTTTAGACCCCTCACAATTTGATGACAAAGTTTCCAATCAGCTAGTTCCCTCCGGTTCGGTTAATCAAATTATGACGAAAATAAACGATAACACCATTTTTCCGGCTGTTTTTTACATTAGGGCGAATAAAGTAGGCCTTTTGTCCCTCAGTGTCAAAGCCTTCACAGATATGGCTGGAGATGCTATAGAAAAATTGTTGCCAGTCAAAGTATAAAAAAATTTTTAATTTTATTTACATATAAATTCGAAATAAAAGATGGGAAGATATGGAAGGAAAGAAAAATAATACAAGTTTTAGGCACGAAAATTGTTCGTGTTGTTCCTTAAATTTGTAAAAACAATGACAAGTCAAGATATCGTCAGGCTGGAGTCCGACTTACAGCAGTCAACTAGGGTGACAAACACATCGTTGAAAATTTAAAAAAAAATTTGTATTGTTCTCTCATCATTCATAAATGAGCATATTTTTTCCTATCATCGTTCACCATCAGCTATAAATTATTTCATTTTATTATTCTTTTACGCAAACTATAGGCAGAAGGTGAGACACTGTTCTTTAATAAACCATATCTAATTAATTTAAATCGGAGTTCTGATGGCAAAATTGGAACTTTTAACGAAAAATTTGTGATTCCTTGGGACATTGGTAACATGGTCGAAGGTTCTAACCATCTGGAAGTCTCTGTTATAGGTAGGTTTTTATCATTAATATATTTAAAAAATATATAAAGAAATATAAATAAGCAATCATTTAAACAAGGTTTTACTTCTCCTTATCCGCGATGCTTATATTATAGTAAAGAGACCTGGTTATCAGGATATTTAGTCAAAATATCTCTATTTTAAATAATAAAATATTGGGCGCTCAAGGAAATAATGAAAATTGAATTATTTTATGTGATCATTTAAAAAAAAAATAATATATGAAAGGTGACATAATGGGCCCTTCTCTCAACAATATTGGGAATTTGGTGAGACTTCCATACGGTTGCGGTGAACAGAATATGTTGAATTTTGCTCCAAATCTCTACATTTATTTTTACCTTCAAACCAAGGGGCTTTTGACACCCGAATTCAAATCTAAAATTGTTAGCTTTACTGAACAAGGTTTTAAATATTTTTCTTCTTTCTTTTTTTTCTATATCTATTATTATTTTTAAAAGTCTTCTTGCTGTTAATAACAACTTTAATTTCCTTTCGATTGATTTTTAATTTTTTGTTAACTAACTCATTTAACTAGTATACTTACCACAACAAATCTATATTGAGTTAACCTAATATATAAAAAAATATTTTTTGATTTAAAGATGTATCGATTTAAATATTGATCATTTTCCTTTTAACTCTATAAAGAAATTAATAGTTTAGTAACTTGCATAAATTATTGAGTTCTGCCTTATTTCCTTCTTAAAGAAAGTATTTATAAGATTGATGAAGGAATTTGTATAAATATTGGATTCTATCCAATTTCCTTTTTATAGAAGATTGATTCTTAACTGAATTAGTTTCCTTAAAAAATAGATAAATTTTGTATAGAATTGATTTATTTTTAGAAGATGATTGAACTCGGTTATTAAACTACCTCTAAAAAAGTAACTCTTATTTGTAAAATAATCTTTCTTAAATTTTTATTAACAAGGGTTTCAAAGGCAGTTGACTTACCAAAGGTACGACGGTTCATTTTCCGCTTTCGGTAATTCCGACAAACAGGGCAGCGTTTGGCTGACGGCTTTTGTGCTCAAATCTTTTGCTAAGGCAAAATCGTTGGGTGTCATTTACATCCAAGACAAAATAATATTGGATTGCCTGACATTTTTGTTAAACTCTCAGATTCTATCCAATGTTTCCCTGGGGAAGGGGTTAATTATAGATAAAAGCAGGCTGGAAAGTATTGAGATACCTAGAGATATCGGCAGCTGGAGAGAGATTGGAGAGGTCCATCATAAGGCAATGCAGGTATTTAAAATTATTTTTTGGTTAGCATTTATTTGAATTTATTGATGTACCTTTGAGAATGTATTACATTATTATATTTTCTTAAATCTAAATAAAGAGAATTTATTTTTCTCTTCCATAGTTTAAACCTTTAAACTATATAATAACTAATCCATATCAACATGGTTTTTTTAAACAAATATTAATTAAAAGGGGGGAGCTTCAAAGGGCCTAGCCCTCACGGCTTACGTGTATATCGCCTTGAAAGAAACGTCACTTCTCTTCTCCGACCCATCAATAAATGTGTCATCTATGAACCCAGTCGATTCTAAACAACGTGCCCTATCTAGGCTTTCTCGTTCGTTGATATTAGCAGAAAAATATTTGGCCAATCGCGTGAAAAACGTTGATTCGTCAAATTTGAATATTTCCAATCTTCCTTACGACCTCTCAATCGCGGCTTACTCGTTGACTCTGGCCACATTTCAACCCCGAAAAAGCTCCATAACTAAAAGATGGGCCGAGTTCTTTAGTCATAAACACAATAGAAATAAATACGTTGTAGAACCGGATACAGGGTTAGGAATTCAAAATGATAGACCGGTTTCGGAACCGGAGGTAACCACTACAAAAGCCTCATTGTTAACCGATCCTACTTTATCAACGAATACTATTGACAATTCGGAAAGTACCGAGATTAGCACTACTACCTACATAACTAACTTAGCTACTGATATGATTTCTGCTTTTAGTGAGAAAATGCATTCAATTTTAGACCGTTCTAATTCTCCCGTTTCTTCCAATCGTAATATCAATACCGACTCAAACCCTAATAGTAATGATGTCAATACCGACTCTAATAAGAGCACTTTTACCACTAGTTTTAATAGTAAGTTTTAATTTTTTTTAAAATATTTTTTATCTTTTCTAAAATGGCTATTTATGTCAATATCAACATCTTCTTAATATAAAGAGTTTGTTTTTATAAAAATTTTGAATTACTACTATATTATGAATAATCATTTTGAATCACTCGATATCCTCACTCAAATAATCGTGTTAGCATCTAACTATATCAATATTCATAAAATAATATTAAAAGAAGATATTTTCAAAATACATAAAATGGAACAGGTTCACTAGACTCGTTAGAACCTATCGATATGGAAGTCCATTCCGCACTCTTGAATAGTGCGGCCGATCAAAGTTTCCAGGAATTGCTCAATTTAGCTCAGAATGAAAGTAAAATGATTAATCCAAAATATGTTTGACTATTAATTTTATTTCATGTTTTCTAGAAAGATTCAAAAGATTTTATTATTAATAAAATAAAAATTAATGGTTTTTAAGATGAATGCAATGGATGGATAGCAACAACAAACTAATTAATAATATATTTATCAAAACGATATTTAAATAATGAATTAATTTAGGGGATTTCACATTTTGGCATCAGGCCATCACCGATAAGAAAGATATGTACGGTTCACCCCAATCCTTGGATTTTGAAACGACCGCTTATGCGCTCTTAACTTTGGCCAGTCGGGGTAAATTGAACGAGGGACTTTCAGTCTTGAGATGGTTGGTCTCTAATAGAAATGCTTTGGGTGGTTATTCTTCTACTCAGGTTCAATATATTTATTTTGCATTTCTTTATTATTATCATTTTTTATCACAGTTTTAAAAATCGCTATTTAAAAGAATGAAACATATAATTAAAATCTGGATTGAATTTCGTAAATAGTGGATTTTAGAATAAATTTTTAAAATTGTTATATAAATAATATAGATGGGATTAAAAAAATCTCTCTAGATTAGTATACTATTATAATATTTGACTTAAGAAATTTGATTGCTACGCCATCTACCCTTAAAACGAAATCTTTAATTTTTTTTCAAACATGACTTTAACTCATGTAGGACACCGTTATTGCCCTGAACGCTTTATCCACCTTTGGTGCATTATTGCCTACTAAAGATCAGGATATTATCGTCACCGTATCCGGTGACACAAAATCACACGAAGTTAGGCTGACTCCACAAAATACATTTGTCAAACACTCCTTGGAGTTTGGTTCCACGTTGGAGAAAGAATTAACCTTAATAGCTTCTGGAATTGGAACTGCGCTTATTCAAGTAATTTTATTTATGTATTGTATAGTCTTATTATTTTTAAAAAAATGCTTTAAATTTATATCACACAAACAAATTTATTTACCAATGCCTTTAAAAAATAAAAGCTAATAATTAAATGATGATTACACTTTAAAAAAAGTATGATACTTATATGTTCTTAATACAAATAATATATATTTGTTTAGGTATCTTGGTCATACAATATTGTTAACAAAGGTAAAGAAACGGGGTTTGAATTGGAAACCAAAGTTGTTTCCAAAAATAATACGCTTTTCGTGGATATTTGTATGAAGTAATAATATATTTCCTTATTAAATTCTTTGGAAATAGGAAATGATTTAGGGATCTATTTTATAAAATGTTATTAAATAGTGGTAAGGTAAAAATAGATCTTTGTTCTTAATGGTTATTTTTTAATATGATTTTTTTTTCAGAAAATCTATGAATCTATTTCCCTTAAAATATTCTCATCCAAGAAAATAATTCATAATTAATTAATAACGTGCAAAATTTTAACAAAATGTTCCTTTTTTACAAGGCTTTATACGTTTATTCTTAAAATTTGGACTAGAATAATTACTATTAAAGATTTCAAAATGCTACGATAATATTTCGCAAGGTACGCCGTTAAAAGTGAAAACAACGACAGTCGAAGTAACATGATTGTGCTGGAGATAAATAGCCCTTCGGGTTATCTGATTGACAAGGAATCGGTTCTTACAACCCGGGGTAACTTGGAAGCCAAGATATCGGAATTGTCCGACGCTAACACGAAACTCAATCTCTATTATGATAGCGTAAGATATTTATTTTTTTAAGGGCAGGGAAAAGGGTGCCGAAGGGAAAGATTAGGAAAAGTAGAAAGGACTTTTTTATTTTACTAAATATTTTCCATGTTCATCTGTTGGTAGTTATTAGAGCCCTGCCCGAACTGATTCAATTCCCATCCGACAACTTGGATCGGTTTGAACTCGGATAGACATTCTCTCGAATTAAGTCGGATTCCGACCTTGATTTTTAAAATTTAATAGGTCGAATTTAAGCGCTTATATAAATAAATTGTCGGATTGACTCGGGCCCTAAAAATTTCGATGCAGGGCTTTAGTAGCTATTATATTATCATTTTTATATATAAAGCTGGGATCCCAAACCGAGTGTCTGAAACTTGAGATGCAAAAATTGTTCGAAATTTCTGACATCAAGCCTTCGTTAGTCAAACTTTCCGATTATTATCAACCTGAATTCAAGAGCGTAGCCTACATAGAAATACCTGCTCTTTAAAGAAATATATTCATTAAATACTTTTTTATTATAACTTTTAACCACTCACACATAAATAATATATAATGTAAAATTGAATATAACTAATACAAAGCACGTTGTAGGTAGCTTATAATAGTTGATCTACGATAATTTTAAATAACATGATAATTTTGAAAGAAAGTTTGAAATTTTGAAGTATAAAAGTGGTAAAATATAATCTTGAAAAAAAAATTGAGAAATTTCAAAATACTAGAATTTGAAGGAAATTGACAATGTTGGGGAATTATTTTTATTGCATTTCAGATATAAATAATGGTTAAAGTTCCTTTTTAATTTTTTTAAACTATTTATATTTTAACAAGTTGCAATAATATAATATTAAAACCATCGATTGTAATAAGATATTTTTAATTGTATCGCTAAAAATAATCACATAATTATTATATTTAAACAAATATATACCAATATTAAAAAAGGCACAAACATCATTAAAACAATGTTTTATATACATAATTTAATTATATTGTCTTAAATCATAAAAAAATTGAACTTAATTAAAACATATATATTTTATTTTATTGTTCACCATTTTTGAGAAATAGACAGACATTTTTATGATATACAATCGATGTCTGTTAAATATATAAAAACTATACTTTGATGTTCTTGTATAATCAATTCAATATCTATAATACATGATAATTTATTGTATATATGTGTATTCACGATTTACTAACCATCCCACCATTTCCAATGTGCCAATTATTATTTTTAAATAAAATCACAATATACATTTTTAAACAAAATTACGTTATATATCATATTACATTACATAACCAGTTTTAAAAAAAAGAAGAGTTATGCACTAATTTAAATGATTGATTTTAAGATTTTTCAGTTAGAATAAAATAACCAATAGAAAAAATAGTCAAAAACTATAAGGAAACCCTTTCGACTTGTTAGAAATGTTATCCTATAAGATATGGTGTAACCGTGTAATATAAATTTTGAATTCTTTTGTTCTATCTGTGTTAATCTAATCAAAAAAGACACATAATCGACCTATTCAAAAACGAATACCAATCGAATAATGAATTATTCGTATTCGATTTTTTTAAGCGAATCGAAAATCGAAAGATCTACTATTTATAATTATACCAATCTAAAGTTCGCACGAATACGGAAGAAAAATATTCGATTCATTTAAACGAATCATACGAATTATTTATTATTCGTTTTTGAATAGGTCTAATTATTGTATTTTTTAATTTAACATCTAAAATTTTAGCTTTTTTCTCGAATCAAATAATATGGACATTATAAATATACTATATTAAAATACGAGTGTATAAATGTACTGCCAAGCCAACATATAGCAATTTGTCAAACAACGACCAATTTTTTCCAAAATGCAATTAGATTTACTTTTTTTATATATATCAATAGGGAATTATACGGTAGCCTCCGATCTACTATACATAATGCCCCGTAGAACACATCCACTTAATTAGCTTCAGAAAAAACTTGATCCTTGCTTGATGACAGTAACTAATAACAGGAGCAACGTTAATTAGACTAAGAGATAATAGTTATGCTGGAGACTAAGGAAATCATAATGATATCACAAAAGAAAGTAATGAAACAGGAAAATTAGCGTTGATAAGTTCAAACACTTATCTAAGTGTAGTTAAGTATGGACCTTATTTAACCTTTTGGTATTCAGTTAAAATATGATTTAACGTATTCTCTTTGAAAATTTCTGGTCTATTTTATATATTAAAATACTTAGAGCTTTTTCTATTATTTCTCGTTTAAAGTCTTTTCCCTTAAGAAACGAGAATTCACAAATATTTATCCCGTAAAAAACAACCGATCATTATTATAGTCAGTGTACCGAAAAAATCTTCCCCACCCCCTTCTCTTTCAAAAAAACATTTTCTTGGTTTGCATCTCCATAATTTGAAACCCTTGCATCTGTAATTTGACTTGGCCCCTCCGCGTGTTGCAAGGTTTTGGTTTACCCATGATTATTGCTAGGAAGATATTACAACCTCATCATATTGCTCAGAAAATTTCGTTCGCAAGAGCACAAAATAACATTTTTTCAACTTTGAAAAATGAAGAACACGGAATTGTCACTTCTACTTTAAAAGGGAGCACAGAGGGGCTCAAATAACCTAAAACTTTTTGAAAACCCCCCGTAAATTTATTTTTGGATTTTTTTAAAAGATTTTAGATGGTTCCTTTATTTTATTAATTTTTTTGAAAAGGTGAGTTCTCAATTTTAAAAAAGGCTACATGTGCAACTAATAACCACGACTGTAAAACCTGTGCTATTCATTAAGACATTTTCAATTTATCAAAAATAAAATAATTATTTTTGGTATGGGTATTAATATTTAATTATAGAAAAATCGTTCTATAAAAAGACCTTTAGGCAAATCAACGTTCATCGATAAAATGTCAAATTTTATAGGCCCCTTAAAATCATGTACTTAAGAACTAGGGCAAATGAATTTTTTTCAAAATTTGGATAATTTTAGGAACTGTTTAATGACAATTATAATTTTCTAGTGCTGTAAAGTAACGTCGTTACCTTTTTATAGAAAAGGAAGGCCATTTGTTACCTTCTTCTAGAGATAACGAGTAACGATAACTAGTTTCTTCTTTTAAGTAATGGTAAAGCAATACATCACTCGTTACTTTAAATTTTTTCTTAAAAAATATGAAAAAAACATATTTTATTGTATTATAAAATTATTTTTATTTATTTTTAATATTTGTTAAGCTGAGTTTTTAGTCAAATCAACTATCAAATTTCTTCATTTTAATTTTAGCTGTAAAAATTTCATTCAAGATTGTTAATCTAGTTAATTTCGATTCAATCAAGATATGTTATTTTATATTCTTATTCTTTAATATTATAATTTATATTATTATGTCTAGTACAAATTTCTTCAGATGAAGATGATCTAACCTGTCCTGGCCCCATTATGAAAATTTTTATTAACTAAAAGATTGATTTTTTTTTATTCTTTATATTAAATTAACTTTAACCTCGCGGACTCGTTTTATAAAATTAACTCAATAATTCGATATAAATTACTTGATAGATTTTGTAAACTATATAAGCATAGAAATTTATTGTACTTTCAAGTTAAAATATTTTATATATTTTTAATAAATAAAAATCTTAAATTTTTTTGTTAAATTTTGTCTAACTCCCTGCCAACCTTAACAAATATATCACAATATATATAAGAAGATTTTTGTTTGCAAGACAGAAACAATCCCTACAACTATATCTTCATGCACAGATAATAACATTAATTCAACCTCTATTGCTGAGGCACAAGAATGGCTAGAAAAAATGAAAGAAAGTCTCCCACCCACAATAGCTCGCATTCCAAAAGGTGCTCGAATTCTATTTTCACAAATTTTTTAGCTATTTTAACCTCCCTAAATAAAAATATTAAAAGCTTAGATAATTGTATTAAATTATTATCACTTATATATTTATATCTACATCTCCCAACTTAAATCAAACTTAACACAAAACATCAAAAAACATTAAATACAAATGACACTAGTTATTTTGATATTCCCAAACAACCTCCACATTCTTTCAATAAGCTTTTGACTGATAATAAAAAAAGGACAAGCTTATTGAAAATAAAATCAACTTGTGCAATGTAAATTCAGCTATCAAAATAGCTTGTTCCAGACTATGGCCCCCAATGATGATAAAACTCTCATGGCATGCAATCTAAACATCCTCAAGATTTTTTACAAATCATCCACCCACCATCTAATAATTTTATTCCACTAACCGAGATAGAAATCTTGGATGCAATCATGTCATTCAAAAAATATTCTTCTGGAAGCATTGATGACTTTCGAGCCATTTATCTTCAAGATATAATTAAACCAACTTTACCCCTATATCAAAATTACACAATTTACCATTGCTCAATCATATCTTTCATAATAATATACCTAATTCCATTCAGTCCATCATTTTTGGAGCCCGCTTAATATCCTTAAATAAAACCAATGGACATCAGACCTATTGCAATAGGGTCACTCTTCTGGCTAATAATTTGCTCCCATATAAAATCTAACCTATCCAATCTACTACAACCAAACTAGCTTGGTTTTAATGTTCCTGGAGGATATGAGGCTGCATCCCACTCGACACGTGTCATCCTCTATAATACACATGATCAATGCATTCTCAAAATCGACCTACATAATGCCTTCAATTCACTTAGGAGGGAACATTTTATACCCTCTTTTTGTGAAATATTCCCAGATTTTGTACAACATACATCGCTGTATGTTACAACCAACCCACCTTTTTAAAATTTAATGATTCTATCATTCTCTCTAAACAGGGCATCCAACAAGGAGACCCTTTAGGTCCGGCATTATTCTTTCAGGGCATTTAATTAATTATAAAAGTGACTATATTGTGATCTTAAATTAAATGTATGGTACCTTGACGATGGCACACTAGCGGGCCCTTATAACGAAATCATAAAAATTCCATCAATTATAAATAACTTAGCCCATATTACAGAACTGTCACTAAACCTTCATAAGTGTGAATTTTATTCCCCTTTTGAATCGGACTACTCCGAAAATTTTATTTCAGTGGACAAAGCTAACTTTACCCATCTAGGTTCACCCATCGGAGGGGAAAATACTATATCTCATTTCAGAGATGAATTCCTAGTCAAATTCAATAGATTGAAAAATATTTTAAACTTTTTATTTACTTAAAAAAATTTTTTTTTCATCCCAAAGATTTTATATACCTTCCGTTCATCAACAATCTTCACTTCCCCTGAAATATTATTAGATCTCAAAGTCCATTTAAAAAATACACTTGAATGTATTTTAAACATCAGATTCTCATCACTCTGCTGGATACATGCTGCCCTTCCACCAAAACTGAGAGGTATAGGTATTTAATCCCCCATATACTTGAGCATTTCAGCCTTTCTATCCTCTGTCCCTAAATTTCGATTTACACTTGGAGACTTGGATTCTATCGACCCACATCATACAGCAGCATTAGACCTCTGGACCAAAAATACCCCAAACTGCTCATATCCAAATTCTATAAGACAAAGTGACTGGAATTTGCCATTGATACAGCATTGCGTCGAATACTTACACTTCATAGCTGTTCAAAGAAAATCACCATCTCTTTTTCTCCACCTAAACCCAACCCCAATTATACATAATGACTACAATACGACTTTTTGCCAGATCAAATATATTCAGCCCCATCCACATGCCACCTGGGATATGAATGGTTTGAAACTATATCTAATCTAGGCTTGCTACTTACCAATGAAGAACTCAGATTGGTCTTCGCTTAGGCTGCTAAATCCTACATCATGTGCCCTATGTGAAACTCACATTGATAGTCTTGGACACTACCCCCTACACTGTCGTTTCTCAAAAAGCAGACTTCCTAGACACTCTGCTATCAATTCAATTATCAATAGAATCCTGAAATCCATAAATATTCCCTCTTAACTGGAACCCACTGGCCTTAGCTCCGATAATCAAACCAGACCGGATGGAATGTCGTTAGCCCCTTGGAACCAAGGTTTACCTCTCGCTTGGAATTATACATGCGTGGATCGTTTTGCCAAATCTTTTTCTGCCAATTCCATCACGACAGCGCAGAATACAAAAACCAATAAATATTGTCACTTTAATAATGCTTCGTTCGTTCCGGTAATCTCATACACATGTGGATCATTTGGACCCCAAGCCCTAAAATTATTCAAAA